AGGAGGCCCCAGCGCAGAACAGCAGCCCTGCCTCCGGGCCGTGGCTAATGAGTCTCTGAGGGCTGAGGCCAGCAGCTGCGGCCATTGTAGCCTCTTCTGCCAGCTGTCTATCCTTCGGGGGTAACCCTGTGGCCAACATCAAACAACTCCTCAGCACCCACATGTAGCACCACTGGGGCATCCCCCTCCCCCCTCAAGAATCCTCACCCCCTGGGAGTTGCCATCTTTGTGTCTATGTCCTCCTCAGGGCTCTGCCCACACCTACCCCAGTGTCAGTTTCCCGTGTTCTCGCTCTAGATATCTTCTCGCTTGTCTGGCCTGGCTGGTTTCCTCTCAATAGCCCTTTAGGTTTGAGGGGGGCTGCCTCAGTTTCCAGAAGGTCTATGCACGTCCTATCCCATGTGATGGGTCCGTTTTATAGGTTACAGGTGCCGACCTGGAGCTAGACCCAGAGCCCCTGTGGAGCAGGCGGGGGGGGGGGGGCGGGGGGACGACAACGACACACTGAGCCTCCTGAAAGCATCTGCTGTTCTGGCCGCCACCCACCAGCGCCTGGCTCCTCGTGACTGTGCTGTGGGAGCCACCCCACCCCCCTCCATGCTGCTTGGAATTTGTGGGCATATCCATAGGCCTGAAAAGGAGAATACTCCTTCTCCCCGGCCATCACAATTAGCTCAGGGAGGCAGGGCATGGGTGCAGCCAGGTGGGGACTGCTGAGGGAACATGTCCATTGTGGTATCTCACCTGGGATGGCGTGCACCTGGCACTGTGGCCACCATGGTGGGGGGGGGGTTGGGGGGGGAGCTGCCTGTGGATGCAGCCAAGCAGAGGAGTGAGAGCGCAGGCTCAGGGACACAGCCTGTGAGCTTTGCCTCTTGCTTCAGCCACCCCAGGAGATCACTTACCCCGGGAATTCACTGTCACACACTCCCCTTTTAATGAGTTAACCCAGTGTGAGTTACGTTCTTGTGTCTTGAACCCAAAAAGGCTGTGTGTCCTTCTGTTCTCCTGAGCCATCTCTCTTTCTCCCCGACCTGCACACACATCCTGTCATCAGCATCCTCACTCCAGGCAACCTCCCCTGATCTGTCCGACCCCTTCAAGCCCAGGTCAAGACTTCCCTCGCTCTGTCAAGCACCTGTTGTCGTTTATCTGCTGGCTCACCTGGCTAGCATGAGGCAGCGGCCTGCCTGCCACGACCCTGCCTTTCCCAGGCCCCTCCTTCAGCATCTGCAACATCTGGGCCAGGCACGTGTGCTGAGCACCATGCTGCAGGGTCCTGATTGAGGCCAAGGTCAGAGGCCCCGGGGTTCGGCCCATTCTGTGGTTCCCACTGGCATGTATTGGTCCCAGCTGGTTCTGGCTTTGCCCCACTTAGTACTCACCTTCCTTCCCAGCTGTCTTCCCTGTGGACTCCACGCCCCAGCATTGGACCTGTGGATGGCAGCCTTACAGAGCTGCTTCACCAGCTCCCACGATTTTCTAAAATCAAACCCCTATAATAAATCCCTAGTGACCTGGCTTCTTCGATTGCTACACCACGCACATCCTCCAAATAGAGTCCTCTCTAGTATGTTTATCTAGAGTCTATTTCTGATGCTTGCAGCTCCCAAATCCCAACCGTACACAGTGCATAATACATAAGAAAACATCTTCAAGTTACAAAGCACAACATACGCGCGTGTTCCTGTTACTTTTATTAATATAGACAGTCCAGGAAAGACAAAGAACTCAGGGGTCAAATATACAAATGCAAGTCTGAATTCCGCCAGAAAATGCTTGCATGGTTTTGGATCAAGTTACCTACTCTCTTTGAGCATATTTCCTCCTCTGTAAAAAGAAGGGGGAAGCCTAACCGGTTTGGCTCAGTGGATAGAGCATCGGCCTGTGGACTGAAAGGTCCCAGGTTCGATTCCGGTCAAGGGCATGTACCTTGGTTGCGGGCACATCCCCAGTAGGAGGTATACAGGAGGCAGCTGATAGATGTTTCTCTCTCATCGATGTCTCTAACTCTCTCTCCCTCTCCCTTCCTCTCTGTAAAAAATCAATAAATATATATTTTTAAAAAAAGAAGAAGGGGGGAAAAAGCAGTCAGGGCTAGGTACCCATGCATACAAGCTATCACTAGCTTCAACAAGAAACAAGCTCATTTGCCGGTTGTGGAGAGGCAGTGCAGGTGAATGGGCTCGGGCAGGCCTGGTGGCCCTCAAATCATCAGGCACCAGGCTCCTTACCTCCTGGGTTCTGCCACCCCTGCAGCACAGGCTCCCCATCACAGTCCGTGGTGGCCAACAGAGCTGAGAGGGAGACTGGCAAATGTCATCTTTACTGTGTGCGGAACTGGGGCTCTGAGGAAGGAGAGTGGCCGTGGGGGAGCACAGTGGGAGACAGTAACGGGGCTGTGGAGAGGGTGCGATGGGAACCGGTGCCAGCCCCTGCCAGGCCACCCACCCAGGGTCTCTCTACCCCTCCCTTTTCAGTGCTTCCTTGCTCTCTCCTGATTTCGTCAGATTCCCTTCCAAATCAATAGGATTTATGACCTCAAAATAGTGAAACTGATTGGGAAAAATGCATCAAACAGCTGCCACCTATATATTAAAAATATGTGGGTTAAGAGTCTGAGTACTAGAGATGCACAAGCCATGTTTCTACTCCTGTCAGCGGTCGGGGGGCTTCTGGCACGCAGCTTAGCCTCTCCGGGGTTGTTTCTCAATTGCGAAGGTCTGCAATAGTACTGACCTCAGAGTTTCATGGTGAAGATCAAAGAATATAATGCAGCAGAAACACTTAACATAGTGCCTGGCACAGAGTGAGTGCTCAGGAAATATTAGCTGCTATTGTCAATATCTTTATGTACGTTCTCTCAGCCAAGCCTCTCCGGAGACATGCCAACGGCTTTCCCTCTGGTCTCACTCCTCACCACACTCTTCAATCGCCTGCAGAGCAGAACTGAGTGAGGCCTCTGTGGTCTCTCCTGTCCATGGAGCTCTGCTAATGGCTTTGGGAAATCTGCAGCCCCATTGGCCCTTAGTGGTGAATAGACTCTTCTCAGATTCCTGGGCCTGTCTTCCTCAGGTTCCGTGATCTCCCAGGAGTTCAGGGACCCTGGGTGGGAGGTAACCATTTCCCCTGGTCCACTGTGGGAGCCCTGGCTCAGTCAGTGTGAGGGCCAGGCCAGCGCTCAAAGGGTTCCAAACCTGTTCCAGGCGCCCTCTGAGTGTGAATGTTATCTCTCACCAGATAAGGGGCTGTGCCCAGCCCAGATCAAACACTTGTTTATCTGCAGGGTGCTGAAAGCCAAACCGCTGCTTCTGTTCCTTCCTGGTCCTTTATTTGCTTACTCTTATCGCCTCTGACCTGTGGTGTTGTTTGCGCACCTGATCTGTTTCTGGCTTGGTTAGACTGAGAGGTGCCCTGCTCCTCGGGGCGGGGAGGCGGAGGGGGGGGGGGGGCGGAATGGAGTGTGGAGTGGACTCCTTAGGTGGCACAGGGAGAAGAGGGCTGGACTAGGGGGTCAGGAGATGCCACCCCCCGAGTCTCTCTCACTTGAGTCTGTCTCTAAGGGATTCTGGGCTCATTGGCCTGCAAGGGCTCTCTCAGAGCTGACATTCCAATCTGCTACGAAAGACCCAGTGTGAGCATTCTTCAGCATAAGGAGAGTTGAAGATTTAAAATGAGCAGAAAGTGTGCGTGCCTTCGGCCTCCTGGGTGAGGGAGAGTTGTGAGTCTCTGACCACACTGTTTATTTTGTGCTGCTTATTTTAGCTGTGTGGTCCACTGAGCCAAAAGGAGGTTAGATGGGAGGCCTGCTCATTGGCTTGTTCGTGCAGAAACAGCTTGAAAAAACAATGACCATATCCCATGCAAATTCAGAGCAAGGAAGGTAGTGGGGGAGGGGATTCTAGAATGTTTGCAGGAAGTTAGGTGGTGGTATAAAGAAGTCCTTACTTTGAGAAATACTACTTCATATTATACTGAGAATTATAGAATCAATTGGTGGTGGGAGGTGGAGGCATATATACTATTTTAGTGTACAAGGTAAGTCCTCACTTTATAAAAAGCCCAATGTTTCCTTCTGGAAGTCAGCTCTCATGGTGCACTAAAAATAAGATTAAATCTAGAATAAAGCTAATCATAAGACTTTTGAAGTGTTATCACATACAGAATGTGACTTTTCATAAACACTCCCATTTGGGGAAGAACCTTCTCTAAGATAATCTTTTTTGAGGCCCAATTTGACATTTGTGCCTACAGTAAACTGAACAGGAAACGTTTTGCCAGCTGCATTTGAAAGACAAAAATCATTTTCTTCTGTGATGAAAGCTTTGCAATGCCCACATTTCCCCACAAGAGGTCAGGGCAGCACAGGGTCTTTACCTTAGGTGAGTGCCTCCTTCCAGGGGAAGACAATTCACCCAAAGTGGTCAGGCAGATGCGACAGTAGAGTCTCAGCATAATTGAAAACTCCAGGTTTTTGCCAGGCCCTTGTCTGGCAATCCATGTGTCTTTCTCCCATTGATATTTCTCTCTTTCTCCCCCTTTCTACCTCCCTTCCACTCTCTCTAAAAATCAATGGGAAAAAATCCTCATGTGAGGATTAAAAACAAACAAAAACCAACCAAACAAAAAGCAGGGATAGATATTTTTAAAGTTCAATTTAATTTTACTTTCATAATTATGTCCATAGTATTGTTTTATCCAAGATTTTGGGCTTTTTTTAAAAGTTAATTTTCTGAATTTAATATTCCAAACAAGTGACTTTCCAAGAACCCCTGAAATCATATGAATTTCATATATTACAAATGTTTTAGGTGCTCTGTCTCTGGAATGCAGGAGGGAGGGTAGGCTTAATGAAACTGTGATACAATTAATACCTGAGCTTAGCCAAAGATATGAACAGTGAAGAAACAAAGTAAGAGGTACTTATTAAGCATTTATAAAGCAAAAGAAGTGACGGTGTTTATTTTATTACTACTAAGTTCAACAAATCAGATCTACCATAGATTTCAAAAACAAATATTTATTCATAAAATATATTAAAAAGTTTGACAAAAAGGTTACAAAACCCCCAAAACTTGAACATCTCAACATCACTTACCATAGTCAACAATGGAAAGTCTCACTAATTTAACTCTGTTTCTAGGTAAAAAAGAGGTCTCTGTAAATCACAGTATTTCATTTTATGAGTTACAATGCTACACACAGTTACCCAAATCTATTTTGACGGCACGCTATGGTAATTTTGTGAAGTAATGTTTTGTACTGAAACTTAGTGACTGTAAAAGCTCTCAAAGTGTATTTATGAAGGTTAATTCACAGTAGTTTCACCAAGGCAAACCATCCTACACCAAACTAAGTGATCCCTACCATGACCATGTGAACACTGAAATGCAACACAGGTGTTTATTATGAAATATGGACTTTGGGATGCAGAACAAATTTAAATATGGTGAAATATAGACAAGTACCAACTTTTATCACAAATGGAGGGAGAGGAACGGAGCTGGCTCTGGACACCTTGGTGCCCCCTGTGCAGCAGCAAACCAGTGACCAACCAGGTGGCTGGAGCTCACCGCTGGGCATTCCACACCGAGAGAGGCGAGCCTGAGGTTTGTATCTGGGCCTTTTTCATCAGTCAAAGCCAGCCTTGTCCAAGGAGAGTCGGAGGATGCAGAGCACATTCTAAATTCTATGAGTGTTCCGCTGGAGGGTTTCAAAGTCCAAAATCTTCAGATCAAATTTTATTGAGTTTTGTAATAATCAGTACTCTCACCATTTGATCAAATGAACTACAGATGCAGAGGCCCCTTTTATCTGGACTCCAGTCCAAACTGGAAATGGGCTGGGTAGACAATGTAACGTTCTGCAAAAGGCTGACGGAACCCGCAACTCCCATCTCTACTCCTTCAGAATCTTTCTTTGACCGCTGAACAGGGTATTCGCTGAAAGCAAGAACAAAGAAGGTATACAGCATGTGCAAAGGCAAAAACTGCAACTACCATTTGCAGAACCTGTCCAAACACTTCCAGAATGGATGGCAGACAATTGATCCATCCATCCTCTGAGCTCCAGGCCAGATCCTAGGACCTCTGTGTACCACTCTATGGGCAGGCACTGCTGGGAGGAGATTTTAGACCTAAACATCATTGCTTCAAAATGCAAAAAAAAAGCCATTCTGAACCCTGTGATTTTCTTTCAGCTGAAAAGATAAATTTATAAATAAGAAGAGTTGAAGGTGAACAAGTTATAAATACTATTTGGGCTAAATTTGAGAGAAGGGGAAAAGAAACATCCCTCCCAGCATGGAGATGTGTTCCTAGTGAAATACTGGGGTTTTGCTCCTCCTTAAAAGGCCTTTTAAAGCCTGTGAGGTATCAACTATGATACTATCTGTATTTTATAAATGCTAAGAAAGGCCAAGAGTTTCAGGATACAAAGCAACTGAGAAGCAGAGCAGAAATACAAGAAGTGATAGGTAGATAACCTACTGTTCTTTCTTCCTCTCAGACTCTACAATTCCTTTTAATAAATAGTCAACAGATTTTTTTTCATATCTCTTGGCAAAAGCTGCAGCAATTTAGTATTTAAAAAATAACAAAGACTTTTTAAACCCACCAGACTGTTAACGTTTTGAGATTTTCAAAATATAAAATAACAAAAAAATCAGCATGTTGGGGGCCATTCATTCATAAAACAATTTCTAAATAACTAGATGAGTTACCTTAGGAATTCTTGGTTAGGTGCTTAAGAAATACTTAGAATTTAATGGAATTACTACCAAGGGAGACTGGCAAAAACCAGATCTCCTTTGCTGGTATAATACCTGAGAGCAAAGCTCCAAACCAATTTGAAGATTAGACTAGATAATCTGTTATGGTAAAGGTTAAAGTTTATTTTGAGATAAGCTACAAATTTCTAATGCATACAGACCCAACTTCACTGATATTAGTTAAATCCACAAGAGTCCAAAATTTCAGCTATAAACGTGGTTGCATATCATAAGGAAAACAATTCCACGTGTGGATTGCAAAGAAAACTTGGACTCAGTGCTTCAAGTTAGCAGCCTAAAGAGTTTGGTCCTCAGGTAGAACAGTGAGGTGCCACTGCATGGCTTACAGGGATCTGCAGAGTTGATCCCAGAGGAAAGACGGGGTTGGAACGATCAGGGAGGAACAATGGACAAAGGTGCTGAGAAAAGGGAAATTACCAAATGACCTATCTACCAGGCATTCTCCTAGATCTCTCAACACTTTCCCTCTGCTTTTTATTCACAGAAACTATATAGTTTTGATTTAAAGCATTCACTCCTGGTTTTTGGTCAGCTATATTCCTAAATGCTTTTGTAGCCCTATTTTTTAGAACCCCTTCTAACGTCTACAAGGAGCTAGTAAATAGAAAACTATTTTGTAGCCTGGCCAGTGTAGCTCAGAGGTTGAGCGCTGACCCATGAACCAAGATGTCCCCAGTTTGACTCCCAATAGGGGCACATGCCCCATCTGTGGGCTCAATCCCCAGCGAAGGGCATGCAGGAGGCGGCCGATCAATGTCTCTCTCATCGGTTTCTATCTCTCTATCCTTCTCCCTTCCTCTCTCTCTAAAATCAATAAAAACATACTTTAAAAAAAAAGTATTTTGTAAATGTGAAAGTCCCAGAAGCATTAAAGATGATATTTTTCTTTTATTTCTTTTTTTCAAACATTATCTTTCATTTATAGCTTGTGTTTCTTTCTCTTTTTTTCCCCCTTGGGTGATGTTTACAGAAAGAGATAACCATTAATGCAGTTTTTATCAGGCCTTTTAAATGAGCAGCTACTAGTAACTGCCCTCTTCAGGCCTTTGGGATTCAGAGCGCAGCGCATGGTAAGCTCTCCGTCACTCACCCTGCCTGTGGTATGCAGAAAGCAAACTCAACGACAAGGCTTTTCCTGGAGACCAATCAGGGCCCTTGGGCTCTGTTCTGGTTCTATCACAAGGATGTTATCTGAACTTGGGCAACTGAATTACTAGGATCTAAAACTAACAATTTCAACCCTTTTCCTATCTTCTAGAGGTAGTGTTCTAACAACCTGATTATAATATTTCACAAGAGCCTTTGGTGAAAGTTTTCCCTAAAAACAAACAAACAAACAACAACAACAACAACAAAAACAGCAAAAATCCCTGATTCCAAATCTATAAAAAGAATTGTTCCTGCCCCTGACCACACTACAATATATGGAAGACAACTAAATAACAAACATATTAAATGAGTCAAAAGGTTACTATTTAGTATGTGTAAAAGAAGTAAATTTGTTTTAAAAATGCTTAGAAAATAGCCGAAACCGGTTTGGCTCAGTGGATAGAGCGTCGGCTTGCGGACTGAAAGGTCCCGGGTTCGATTCCGGTCAAGGGCATGTACCTGGGTTGCGGGCACATCCCCACTGGGAGATGTGCAGGAGGCAGCTGGTCGATGTTTCTCTCTCATCGATGTTTCTAGCTCTCTATCTCTCTCCCTTCCTCTCTGTAAAAAATCAATAAAATATATTTAAAAAAAATAAAAATAAAAATAAAAATGCTTAGAAAATAATACTTACATACTACAATAAAATTTAAAATCATAGCAAAATGAACTAAGTCAGAGGAGGAAAATAAGGGGGAAAAGTTCACTCTATTCCTAGTTCATGCCCACCAGGACCCACAAAGGAGCCGGGTGCACAGCAGAGACTTACTACTTCCAGAGGTGGAGGCCGCCGGCGCCTCCCGCTGTCAGGAACAGCTCTCGGTTCTGGGGCAGGTGTCGGACCTGCCACACGGTAGATTTATGAGCCTAAACAGCAGGAGAAGCACACAACCTGTTTATAAGTTTGTATGACAAAGACTGCCCTAGAAGAGAAACCCTGCAAATAAGGAAATTTTCCTTCTATCTTTTCAACTGCTATAAAAGTAATTATTTTCTGGTCCTTCTCTTTATAATGGCTCCAAAGATTTAGAAGAAACCATCAGAAATCAGGAAAAACATAATTTTTCTTTATTGCTTTATGAAACAAAGTTGTACTGGATTTTTAAAAAAAATATGTTATCAGATTAAAAGTCTAAGTTTATAGTACCATATAAACTATGCAAATAGATTTCATACATTTATGTCTCTAGCTCACTCTGAAGAGCAAAAAACAAACAAACAAAAAAAGTAAAATACAAACCACATACTTCTTCCTAAGGGAAAAATAAAGATAGATTGAACTTTTAAAAAATAAACTTTATTGCCCTAGCCGGTTGCTCCGTGGATAGAGCGTCAGCCTGCGGACTGAAGGGTCCCAGGTTCGATTCCGGCCAAGGACACTTGCCCGGGTTGCAGGCTCGATCCCCAGTGTGGGGTGTGCAGGAGGCAGCTGATCAATGATTCTCTTTCATCATTGATGTTTCTATCTCTCTCTCCCTCTCCCTTCCTCTCTGAAATCAATAAAAATATGTTTAAAAAAAAGAAAAAAAATTTGAAGATAACACTATAATTTATAGATAATAAGAAACATGTTGCAATTGTATATAAAACAACTTAGTAAAGTGCTTTATGTTGATAGATACTTAATATACTCTGAAACAACAGTAAAAACAATATTACAAAATATATTTATCTTGTTAAGAATTTAGTTCATCAGGCAGTGGCAGTAATTTACATGCAATATTAATTGCTGTAATAATAAGACAAAATAGGAACATTTGGGAAGTATTACTGAATCGACGGTAGAGTGAGAAAAGGAGTGAATTTTTATTTCCTGAACAACTTACATATTTTAATCTCACGGAAACTATAAATCTGTAACCGACCTTTATTTTTAAAACGGGGGAAGCTCAGACTCACATTTCTCACCCCTCCCTTGCAAATGAGAGGACATTTCAGCATGAATTTTATGCAATCCCCTTACTTCTGACACCATTTTAACAAGTATTTTCCCTTTGCCCCGCTTTCTTCATCTATTTTTCAACCACTGTAATACCATATTTCCTTTTAAGCTTCGTCAAATACTATTCAAAACAAGGCAAAGTATGTATGTATATAAGTGTGAATAAAAGAATAAATACATTTTTGAGCACCTACTATGTATCAATCAGAGTGATAAACACTTTAAATAATTTTATTTAATATAACAACTGGAATGTAAAATAAAATGTGGTTAAATGACAATACATATATGTTGATATATTTTGAAAAGTATATAATTAGTATTATACTAAGGTGTATATTGGTATACACCTAAGAGTATATAATTAGGTATAAATACAAATATTATATATTTATTAGGAAATGCAAGGCTAGGTTTTGTTTATCACATACTTGTCATCAGCTACTTTTTCTATGATTGCTCCTTAAATACAAAATAAGATTCCTAGCCAACTGAGGCCTTTATTATAATCAAGAAGCCTAAAACTGGTAAGCTTTCTGAAAGTACTCTTTGCCGAGAAAACCTTGTCAAGATCCCACAAGAATATATTAAAAATAGCTCCCTTCCCATAAAGACGTGGAAGGCACCTTGGTGACTAAGTCTATTTATTAGTCTAAAACAAGCTAAGAACATTCCTCTTCATAGAAAGGCATTCCCCTCAGATTTACCTTTTCTGAAACAGAAGCAAAACCTTTGGTTGGATGCTGTGTTCTCATGTCAAAAACATGAAACTTCCCTTCCAGAGACGTAGCTACTAACTTATTCATACTTATATCTTTTCTGTCAAACTCCAGGCTACATACCTGAAAATACAGAATATTTATTATTGATGGTCTAATGAATATTATTCAGTAGATTCTTTTAAGCTAAGGAAAACAACTTTAAAATAATTAGCTCATGTGAAAGCATTTAAACTGAATCAATACATTAAAAACTTTTAAACCATAACAAAAAATTCTTCTTGGTTAATAAGATCAAACCACCTTGAGTTCCCCAATTATTGTACACAGTTAAGTCAAGGCTGACGTTAGGAAACAGGAAGGAGCCCCATTCCTCCTGAGAGGCATACAACTCAGGAACCTAAAATCTGAAAGGCTATTACTATTTTCAGGCTTCCTATTAGCAGAAAAAGGCCTCTTACGTGCTCATTTTGATATGACAATGAGCAGCACACAGGTGTCCACAGTCCACCACTGGGGCTGGTGACTCACCAGCTCTGCTATACCACATCTGGGTGTGTGTTCACTTTCCAAGAGAGGGTCCATATTGTCATCAGATTCCCAAAGGGCTCAGAGCCCCAAAAGGTTAAGAACCACTAGTAGAGTGGTTGTACTGAGATGAGTTATTAGAATCACCTTCCTTTTGTAGTAGTTCAGAGGTAGGTGAAAACATGCTCAGAGAAATTAAAAATAATCCAGATGGCCCTAGTTGGTTTGGCTGAGTGGATGGAGCATCGGCCTGCGAACTGAAGGGTCCTAGGTTCAATTCTGGTCAAGTGCTCATACCTTGGTTGCAGGTTCCCTGGCCCTGGTCAGGGTACATGCAGGAGGCAATCGATGTCTCTCTCTCACATCAGTATTTCTCCCTGTCTCTCCCTCTCCCTTCCACTCTCTCTAAAAATCAATGAAAAAATATCCTCAGGTGAGGATTAACATACATACATACATACATAAAATTAAAAGAATCCAAATGTACATTACCCCATTTTTAATGTTTGTCTCCCACCGCAATGACATACTTCTGAGATCAAACAGTTTGATGTCCCCGTTGTCATAGCCAGCACAAACAACACGCTCCTCTTGATTATAAGCATTACCTACAGATCAAGACACAACATTTCAGATCTTTATAAATGCTAATCGGAAGGCTGGTAAAATAATTTTATGAACCGATGCATACAATTTGTACTGAATGAGATTTTACAAAATCACATTGGGTAGAATCTCATGTTACCGATCCTGGCAGGACATCAGATTATTAATTTGGTATTTGATATAGTTATTTTAAAGCTCATTTTCTACTGAAGGGATATGCGAGACTATTATTGGCTTCTAAACACCTCTGGCTGTGGGCCTGAGCCATCTTTAAAGCAATTTCTACCACTATAGTATTTCCTCTACATATTTGGACACTTTCCAAGCTATTCCTTATACTTGAAATTTCCTTCCAATTTCAGGGGTTCAAATTCTATATATCCTTCTGGTCAAAAATGCCCTCTCACCCTGGTCATCTTTCCCTGGGGACTCCTTCTGCATTTGTCCATGTCTTTCATGACCTTTTATCACTCTTACCTTGTACTATAATTTTTAAAAATATATTTTTATTGATTTCAGAGAGAAAGGGAGAGGAGAGAGAGAGAAATAGAAACATTAATGAGAGAATCATTGATCAGCTGCCTCCTGCACATCCCCTACTGAGGATCGAGCCCACAACCCAGGCATGTGCACTTGACCAGAATCGAATCTGGGTCCCTTCAGTCCTCAGACCAATGCTCTACCCACTGAGCCAAACCAGCTAGGGCTGCGCTGTAATTAATATAGATATCATGTCCTCTTTACTAAACTATAAGCATCTTGATGCAAGTAACACATCTGTTTAACCTTTATA